CCTTCATCTGGCAGTGGATTGATCATGGCTAATGATGATGATGATCATGAGTTCAAGCACATTTGTTAAAGTGATTTTTGTGTTTAGTTTGTTGTACCCGCCCCCCCCCCACCGCACCTTCGATTAGCACGGTTGGTTATGTATGGTGTGAAAGAAGTTCAACATACATACAATCCGCCTGTGACGCATTAAATAGGTTTCTTGTAATAATTGTACACGCATAGGCGGCAACCGTTTACGGGCAACTTTGTAATCCAGTGCAATTTTAATCGCGTACATATGCAGCGCCCCCCCCCTTTTACGCTTTGTTTTGCCGATGACCAAACCACACAATGCTCCCGATCTCGTCAGATCTCGGAAGTTAAATGTTGAGAACCTTTAATGTTAGTGGAGAGGTTGGCGTTTGCCAATATTAGCATTGGGTGGCGATGTTCAGCCAAAAATAATTAGCAAACACCCCCCCCCCCGCCGCCATGAATTTTACTTCAAAAGTGGGCAATATTATTAAATAATGTTGCCTTTAGCCAAGATAGATTTGACAACGTTAGAGTTTATAGTACTATTCCCAGCTTAAATATTCAGCATTTTTAGCCAATAATTACTTTAGTAAAAATGGGATTCCAGGGGTTTTTGTATATTCGTTGATGTCATAGATATTAATGAATGATTTAAATCGACTTTCTATTATTCTCTGCTTATTTATTTATGTTGTGAATATTTACGTTCATTTGGCGTATATTACTGCATGGGACCTGAATGCCACGCTGCCCCCTGTTTATATCACAAATAAAAATAACTTTTAAAGTTTAACAAGTCTTCCATAAATTTGCAATGTTAATCATCAAAATGTAGAATTCCTTTTTATAATTCCACAAATGCCATTGTAATATGTTCTGGTATCTGCATTGAAACGCGGGATGCAGAATTTAAAGTAGGCCAGCATGAACTGTTGCCTTAGATACTCCGTAGTAATTTGCATAATTCAGCTTGCATGCTTTCGACTTATCTCCCTACAAACCCCTCAGGCCAGTTTTGTTAATTTACAAAGGCTTTCTCACAGCTTACAGAAAGAAAAGTACATAACTTCAAAACCAACACGACAGCGTTCAAAATCGCGGTAAATAACCACACCGGCAGCCCCCTTGCTGACGAGAGTGAATGTGGATCAAGTAATGTTCATGTACCGCCCTTTGTCGATCCACTGCTGGATGAATGACTTGTGGTGGCGTGTCAGTCATGGAAGTTGTTTGACTGTACTTCACCACAACCGATCAGTGTGGGATGGTAAAGGAAAGCGGGAGTCAGGACCGGTTGAGATATATCTCACCACTGATGTCTCTTGGCCAGTTCAGAGTGCAGCAGGCTAACCACTGTATGTATGTTGAACTTCTTTCGCACCGTACGTCGCCACCCGTTCTCATCGGAGGTACGGACTGGCACTGTGCCAATGCTCCACCCCAAACAATAGAATGCACGCCTCTTTTAATATCATTACATTACAAAAAAGTACAATCATTCTGTGGTGGAAATCATGTAACCAGGGCAGATGGCTAGGGATTATATTGATGACCACTTAAGCAATCGGACCAACACTTCATTTCCGACCTTCCTGTGCAGTACATTTTAATGCAATTCGCATTCTGAGCACATCATATTGTTTGCAATTAAACCTCCCAGATTAACATTGCTTTGAGAATGAATACATTTTGACATGAGTTGGTCCCAAAAGTTGCCTTCTTAAACTGTGATGTGCTTTAAAAAAGTCCCATCACATGAGTGCACCAGAACATTCAGACGACTCTCAAATGTGCAGCCTTTGAATTCACGCCACTGCTGGCATTAAGGGCCTCTTCTAGAGGGTATTTTGGCCTACTCTTCCATGCTGGCCAGATACGTTAGACAAGGTGCAAGTAACCACACTTTACCCCCCCACATATAACCTGCCAATTGACCTTGGCATACCCGTTTATACAGCTGGATGGACAAAAGGCAGGGACCATGTAATACATTTCCCCATTATTTCAACTGCCGCGCTACACATGGTGGTGACGTTGAGAAACTATAAGATCCTACTACAATTATGCTAATTGATTCATTAAAACGCTGCATTACACGTGTAGATTATATTATTATAGTTGATTTCCCCTGGAGGAAAGAGACACCTAAAAGGTAGTCTTAAACAAATCCACCAATTACCTAAAGGATTATTTAGTCTCTCTAGCTCCCTCCCATAGGCTCAGAAGTACCTCCTTATTCCTACAATTATTTTTTTTCCATTTGCTAAAACTTTATTGGGCAAAAAAAAGTCTTTCCACGTTTCTGGAATGCTCTTGCCGCTCATCTACAGCTTAGTTCCCTCCCTTCATTGCTCCCTTCATTCCCCCATTAAACCAAAACAGTATAGTCTCACCTGTAATGTTACCTTTTCCTCCCACATGTTTGGACTGTCTTTTCCAAAATTTCCGCTTGTGTTATGTCGCTGTTAGACTAGGTGCTCTATAACAGCACTTGCCCCAACAGTTTGGTTATAAGGCTATACGGGGGATCTTTGTGAGACTAAACTATAGAGCTTATTTGGACCTGTACTTAACATTTTCTGGTGCCTCTTGCTCTCATGTTTAGACTTTTTTCGATTCGTGTGTTTCGGTTTTCCACCGTTAAATATTTCATTTGTTGCGCAATATTCCTTCGGGTCCCTGTTCTCCTTCTCTGCAGTGTCGATGTTTTTTTTCCTTTTGTTTTCTTGTGCTGTGCTCAGGCGCCACGGATTTTCCTCGTAAAATATCTGGGCAACGAGTTAAACGGGATCATCCATGCAACAAATGCAATAAACTTAAACAAATTAAATAAACTCGAACTTAAAAGGATGTTAAATTTTGATTTAAATCTTTCGTGACTGCAGGGATTCATATTCTTGGTTCTTTCGGTAAAGTCACGTAGAAGGGAAACAATGAAATAATAAAAATATAAAACAATAAAAGGATGTGTTTCATGGAGCTTACGATTGTTTTGGTGTGATTTGATTTCTCAACACTTCAAAAAGTATGCCCCAACCCATTATAGATCTTTAGAGACTGCTCTTTGAAGCTCAACGTAACCTTGCGCTGTTATCAGTCTGCAGTGTTTTATGTACTGTAGTAATATATTTTTTCTACAATGCATTACTTTTAAATATTTATACTACGCATTAGGACTGTTAATGAATGGGTCTTGTTTACAAATAGGTTTTGTGCTGGAATGCAGTTGGAGAAAATATATATTACATTGGTTTTTTTCCCTATGTGTTGGGTGGGATTTAAATATTGCATTAATGTGTGATAAAGCAGCACTGGCTACGTGAATTAAATGGCGAAAACATTTTTTTGTGTAGACAGCGCTGAAGCACAGTGTGTTATTTCGTGTAACATATGTTGAATATATATTTTTTCGAAACGATGTATATTGCCATGTTGATGTCTTTTTTGTTGTTGATATTTTTTAAATATTTTGAGACAGGAAACAAATCCCACAAACAAAAAATGAAATCAATTCTGATGGAAGAAATTGCATATTGACTCAATTCTGTGATATGGAAATTAGTTTGTCTCTGCGCATACCAAAAGTAATGAAGTTGCCTTTCCTTAATGACATTTTCTGTTTGTTAAGCCTGGGATGAGATTTTGTTTTTGTAATTACTTTTGTAGGAGGCAAACCTTGCTGGAATTCCTAATGGTTTTAAATGGCACGTAAAAAATATGATTCAGAAACCCTCCGAGGAAATGCTTTCATGACCTTTATTAGCGTGATGTGTTTGATGTCCTCAGTTTTTCCACAATCACACCCTGTACGCACTGTTTGCCTATTCTCTTTAACCGTGCATCACTTTTGCTCATTTGCACGGAGCCCTTCGGCACAGCCGACGAGGCATCTGCCCCATTCTGTTAATTTAAAGCGATAACTAGACGGCTATGTCTATTGTGTCTCGTGGTGGCTGTCTGAAACTTTTATATTATTCTCATTGATGTAACCAAGTGCTGATGTGATTTATTACATACTTATTTTCATCATTATAATAATCAACCATGATCAATTCACTGCCAGATGAAGGCCTCCCCAAGCTAAGTGTATAAATACTAATCAATTGTCGGAAAATATGTCGATATATCATACATAGAGGACCGCAGAGTATTTGGGCCATTGTTGGCACCCGCTCACTGCCTTTGCTGTCTTCCTGCTTGTCTGATTCCTCACGCTTCCGTTGCTTTAAACATTGTAAAGCGTGAAGATGCAATCTGCATAATTGACGCATATATAAAACTAAACAATCATATTTTTTTTCTCATGATCTTGCGATGTCATCATTCACATGGCAACGGCGTACAAAGGCTGAATTCCTCGAGTTGGATCAAAAATACTGACAACGTGATTTGTCTGCAGCCGTGGATTTTCGCTGTGGCTCTCACTGCAATTGGAATGAAATTACAAGTTTATCATTGTGGACCTTCAAAATAATTGATACAAACAGCAGTGTCGATAGTAACGCATTGTTTAAATCGTTTTAATTGTATCGACCCCGACGGTCCGGCTCATTGACAATCTGAAATTGCCACAGTTGCCTTTCTCACTGAACTTGGAAATTAAATTCGAAGTTTCTCTCATGTGGATTTTTCTAAACACCGTAGTGGCAATTATGTAACTGTGCAGATATATGTGTGCCGTGCATATGCCGTAAATCTCTCGAAGGTACGGCCACAAATATCACGCTGTGCATGGTAGTTGTTGCATTTTACCCTTTGGGCTGTAAATTTGGTGGCAATAAATTGAGAGCTGTAATTGATTGCCTGATTATCATATCACCAGAAAAGAAAAGGATGTGGGGGCGGGGTGGTGCAGGGGGGGATGCAGGGGGACGAAAATTCCCTGACTTGCTTTAATTTATCAGCCTGTGGTGTCTGTGCCATGGCTTGGGTTGAGGCCGTAAATGAACCGTTATATTTCTATTAACTATTTATCAAGCGCGATCGCCCGGCTGCATATGTGCGCGCGCGTGCACGCAGGGGGACAACATCCCATTAATCTCGGGTGCCACCCGAGGCGACCATCCCGCAAACAAAATGTCGGGGGTGGGGGGCGCGGTGAGCGCCGCAAAAAGAGTTAACCCTTGGCGGATCTAGTCGGGGGCGTCCGTCCGTCAGCCTCGACCGCCTGCGCTGCATGTCGTGTTGCGGTATGCGCCCCATCGGTGTTTTTGCAAAGGCAACCTCCGGCTGGCCTTTCGTATTCATTCGTAGTTTTCTTGTTGTGGAGAAAATGAGGGTAAGTGTTGGCAACAACAACAACAACAACAAAAAAAAAGTTTTCGTCGATGTTGGGATGAATGCTTGACTCTCTTCCAGATGTGTTGGCAACCGAGCAAATGTCCCGTTGGCAAAAAGAGGTTCGTACTCGGCAGAGACCGTGGTTTGAGCATGCACCTCTTCACCGATGTAACACCAGAGTTGACTCGGTACTGATATCACATTGGTGGAACGTGCATACAACCTTGGGGCTGTCATTGCTATTGAACTCTCGGTCTTTTGCCTCACATGCTTTAACTTTGCAAGATCTCATACTGGAAGGGTTGATGACCATTAGAAGAGGCTGTCAGCAAGGGGCATGCGATCACTCTTCATAATACGACCACTGTGGATATGGAGCAATCAGAATATTACATATGCTGTGTATATTCATCGGAGTGTATTCACTTGTATGTACAGTATGCAAGTAAACGCATTTGCATTAGCGCTGGTACAAATTGGATAACACATTCTTGACAAATGTTGTTATACCTGGAGCCAATACATTTTGCTCCGGCATCAGCAATAAAGAGGTTTTCTTTTAAATTTTATTTTGAAGCGAACCTATTCTTACGCCGTGAAATTCCTTTAATGCGAGGCAATACGGCAGCGTGCCTCATTGCTATTCAGGCAGCCTGAGCGCACAACTCGACGGTCTTTAGCAAAATTGAAATGCTCAGAGGCCATCTCTTCTCTTTTTTTTAGACGCCGTTAGCTTGAGTGGCGGGCAGTGCGCATTTTAATTGAACGCCCTTCTAATTTATATCAATCGATAGGGGTTAATTAAAGTCCAAAGAAATTTCACAAAAAGCGTTCATTTGTTTTAGGAGCAGAAAATGTTATCAGCGGCCTTCCGTGTTGTGCAGTGTCGCCTCTTGCTATGCTAGCTTACTGCACGGACAGGTTCGGTTCACCTGTAGAAGATAGGCTCATTGTACATGCTTTAAATGTTTAGCTGTTTAGGACAGTGGGGTATTGTGCTCCCACCTTTTTCAAGATATTTGGAAGAGTAGGCAAACATAACCTCCATCGGGGGCTTTCGTAGAACTCTTTCGAGTGGAGGCCCTTCCACCAATACTGGCAGTGAGCAGGAAATTACATGCCTGCACCTTTAACATTACTATTTGGGCATTCTTTGTTAATAGTGAAATTATATGCAGAGTTGATTTCTCCCCCCAATGGCATCATGCGCTCTTTTTAATATTCCAAGTACCAATTTTGGGTTTTCAACAATGTGTCCCACGGTGTAGAATCACTTATTAAACTATTTTCAGCCAATTGTAGGGCAATTTCATAGCAGCATACCGGTGCGAGGTCAGGGCTAACATGTTAATTGTGGGGGGGGGGGGGGAATTCACGCCCAAGGCACGATCAGAGCTGTGAGCTTGTTATAGAATCCACAGTCGGAACATTGGCCAAAGATGGATGGTGTCTTAAATCACGCTCACTGGCAGTGATGGGCCCACCATGGCACTCCTCCATAATATATTTATTAATTTAGTTGAAGTCATTAAGCAGCGTTAACATCTGCGATGCGGTGTCTGACTGCAATTGCAGTCCTGCGGGCTGCATGATCACGTCGTCATGATCAGCCATGGTTATTTCACTGCTGGATGAAGGACGACCCCCCCCAAGAAGCCAGGTCGATTCTGAAAAATAAGTTGATACATCAGTGGGTTTTTGCCTGGTCTAATGGGGATGGTTTTAGTTTGATTTGTATGTTTTTGGGTGTTGTTCACCTTTCTTGTACTTGCACTGCTATCGTGTCTGTTGTATTGTTTGTTGCAACGTTCTTACCCGGCCCTACTGGACATCTGTTGAAAAATAACTTGAATAGCTCATCGGATTCCTCCAGTTTAAATCAACACTCTAATTCTGATGTCGCGCAATAGGTCCCGCAATAAAACAATCAACCAAGAGCACCCACAGAAGAGCTGATTTCATGGCGCGATGGCATTCACAGGCGATAGTAAGCAGCTTGGGTTTGCTTGAGGAATTGACGCAGTCCGGCTGCGGTAAAATGAAAATTACATTAGGCGAAGTGACCTACTTCAAACATAAGGCGGCTTGGGGTCATTACCTTACAATGTAATTATAGTAGAGAACAGGGCTTGTTCTCGAAAGCTACAAACTGTATTAAAATATAGTGGTCTAATTGTTTATCTTAAAACAGAGGAGGCGCTTTGCATATTTTAATTGCTTAGTACGCATGTTCTGGTTTACTTTTTTCCGTTACTCAACATCCTTAATTAATCTGGAAATGAAAAAAATAAAGCTAAATTAATAGCGCAGGCAGTGAAATGGCTTGAAAATTAACTGTGTTTTAAATTCGAGGATGCGTGGGGGTTTAGAATTAATGTTGTCGACTGAAAAAAAATGGTTGTTTATTAAGTGCATCAGTTGTCGGTATTTATTACATTAATTCATAATTGCTTCTCATAAATAGCACCCACTGATTGTTTAATATATTATCATTGCCTTTGCTTTCAGCGTAATGTATATTTATTCGCTCCAACACTAAAACTATTTGGTTAAATCGCGTCTAAACGCATGAAGCTATGCCCGCGACCGAATCGCCCTGAATGCCCCGCTCTTGGCAGTCAAATGCTAAGAGGCGGCCTCTGAATTGCAAGTCCAGTGGTGTCGAACCGTTACGCCGCTGCGGCGGCATACCAACGTGCACAGTGCAGGACGTGGAACTCACTTTGTACCTGCAAATGTGGCTTTGCTCAAGTTGGTTACACGACTGCAGGGCAGCAGAAATTCGCCTGAAAGAGCAGGAGTCTTAAAAGGACGATTGGAGCATAGCCCTGCTTCATATATGTTGCATTTCATGTGCAAGTGCGTGTCAGGCTCTCCGACTGATGTTGAAAGCATCACTGTCCGAGCCATCTCCATCTGGCGGTCACGGGGTCCCACGATGACTCTCGTAAAGATGATCCGATATTGGCCAATTTTTTTGGACAAAAGTTGCATCCGCTCTTTGGGACACGCGCTAAAGAAACCGGCCACGTTGATCAATACGTTGCCGAAAACAATAAAAAAAACCCAGCCATAAAAGTATTCACCCTGCCGGTCAACCCGCTGACGTCACACATCGTGTCATGTGCGATGTTATTGTGTTTCTCGGAACGTAAAATTGTTATTGCTAATTAAATACTTCCGAGGACAAATGCATGTTAGAAAGCATCATAGAATCCATGCATGGGCTTGATTTTCCTTCCTAGATGTAAATCTTAAAGACGCAAAAAAATTGGCCTATAGATTATTCTTTGCGAACCTTTTTTTATTTGTTTATAATGACACAATCGGTTACAGAGCCGCGCTCGTTGCATTTGTCAAAAATCGGTATGCTTATTCATTTTATATACAGAGTATTAAAAACATTACTCTGGGTACCTTCAATAGCATTTCTGTTTTCGCATACTCATTATGGCAATGCTCATTAGTTGTTTTTAGGAAATGTCACTCGTTATAAATATAAGGCTGTTTGCCATTTATTGGGGCAATTCTTCTTTCGTATGGCATTGTGAAAAGCAACAGTTTATTTTCTTAATTGACGTCATAAATGAATGCAAAGGCTTCTCATCCAGTCCAATGAGGCGTGGTTGACGCGGTGTGGATTTCAGCGACACCGCCAGGATGTGCATGGATGGAGCACTCATCGGTGATGTGCTTGATGGTTTGGACTGCTCTCCACAGTCGCCGTTGGGCGATTCTTTGATCTTCCATTTATGGAACGTTGTACGAGCGTCTGCCGTGTCGTGTTCGTGCGCGGTTCAGCGTGGTCCATCGTTGCCGTGGAAGAGAGAATCCCGGTCTTTCCACCGTCGGATCGTGAATGATGTTTTTGTCTGCCACCTCCATAGCTGCCCATGATTTAGACCACCGAGTGACGGTTATTTTTGGCTGCTAGAGCGGAGGCGCGTATCCAGAACGGTTTCCTGGATTTTAGCCTTGGGCGAGGGGGTTCCTTTAGATCTTGATGGAGCAGCAGAGTGAAGTTCTTCATTATCTTGTTGTACGCTTGTGTTATCGCATCACGGCGTCGGATGTTGGCCGGAGCGATATTCGCCAGCACAGGAAGCCACGGGAGTGGAGTAGACTTTAGGGAACCACTGATGATACGAAGCGCGTTGTTAATTTCGGCGTCGACAAGGTTTGTGTGAGGGCTTGCACCCCACACCGGGGCACAGTACTCTGCAGTGGAGTGAACAAGGGCCTGCGTCGATATCTTCAACGTGCTGGCATCGCTTCCCCATGTTGTTCCTGCAAGTTTCTGAATAATATCCACTCGTGCTTTCGTTTTACCTTTAGCTTATTGGAGGTCGTGATGGTAATTAAGCGTCCAATCAAGGGTAACTCCTAGATACCAAGGGTGTTCGTCATGCCTTAGCTTCACCCCGCAGAAGTTAACGGTCAACGTTTTCGAAGATTGTTTGTTGTATAGGTGGAAGGCGGAGACGACGCTCTTCTATGGGTTAAGCTTTAGGCACGAATTCTTGAAGTGTTCTTCCAGAGTCTTCAGACCTTTTTCAAGGACTGCCTCAGTGTCCTCCATTTTCCGTGCTTGAGTTGCGAGTGCGACATCATCCGCATATGTGAACTTACGGCAAGATGTCGCTGGAATGTCACTAGCATAGAGATTGAACAGTGCTGGGGCCAGAACTGGTCCGTGCGGGAGTCCGTTCAATCTTCATCGGCTGCTGACAGCTTCACCAAGGTGGACGGTGATCCATCGGTTGCTCAGCATTTCGGTGATTAGTCCAATTATAGGGCGGCAACGCACGGCTTTCACAAGCTTTGAGCAGGAGTCCCTTCCATTGAAAAGCTTTTGCTATTTTGATGAAAGCTGTTGCTGTTTTGGACTGGCATTCAAAACCGGCTTCGATTTGACTTGTTAAGGCAAGCATCTGGTCGCAACAATTTCGACCAGTTATAAATCCCGCTTGTGCCTGGGGTGGTGTTGTTCCCCTCGGG